CCCCCCCCCCAACAGCGTTTTCGAATATGGTTTGGAACTCTACGAAATATAATCAGTCGCTAGTCATCCCGTTTTAATGACCAAAGGCTATGAAATCGCTGGTAGGACAAACTCCCGGTGAGACTGTACAAAGTTTCGAGAATTACAGCAAGAAAGCTGCAGCAAAAATGCTTGGGGTGCTACGACTACGTAAACATCCCATTTAACATGTGCATAATATTCAGGCTTATTTGCAAAAATATTTTAGTAGAAGTATTTGTTGTGGCTGGTAGAAGCGAAAGTTATCCAAACACTATGAAAAATATAAAAGAGAAACTGCTTGAACGACGATGTTTAAGTGACAGCCGACAACCGGAAATCGGAAAACAGCCTGAAGAAAACTATGACAGTCGAGAGATGAGTTCTTCAACCACTCTTGAAAAGTCATGTGTAAAAAAAACGATCGACACTAAGCAGCTTTGTTGTCGAATTCGTCCGGATTCACGTCATAGTCCTGCATACCCGTTTCTAGAAAAATCCAATGACCGAATATGCCGACATCAACGATTCTTCTGGGTAGACTTCGCCATTTAGGACGCAAGCCTGAACACTGAGCTTCAAACAAGCAACAATCAGTACTGTAGTCGTCCCGCCATAACACGGAACAGAAAACCAGATTGACGCGGCGAATAACGTCGTGACTGAACGCGTCCGTCAATCGGTGCAATAGCTGAACGGCAGTCGGCTTCTGCGTTGGACCACCGACGAGAATCAACTTCAAGCGACTTTCCGTAACGCTGTCCAGAAAATCTGTTTCGTTCGGATTTGTCTTCAGTGCATAGTACATTACAGCGATGCCGCATCCAATCAGCCCTGTCTGCATAGGAGTCTCGACAGCTGCTTTAGCTGTGCTTCTAGCGACCGATACGTAGTCTGACCCGAGGTTACGCCAGTAATTGTAAAACTGCCTTGTTCCTGCTGTAAACAAACGACGGATCATCGCAAAATACCCTAAACATAACTGATTCAAATTCAATTTATTTTCTGGACCAATAACATCATCACAAATTATCCTTGAAAAAGTGTATGAAGAGCAACAGAGTAAAGTACAGGAGAATATACAAAGAAACAGCTGCAACGTTTAACGTGATGATATGCAAAGTTAAGGATAAGAAGTGAGTTATCAGACAATCGACACATGCTCAGGTTCAACATTTAATAAACATCTGAAGAACAACGGTAGAACTAATCGTTAAGCTTCCGTACGACAGACAGTAGATCTGCCTCTAGTTACTGTAACTTAAACCGGCAAATTGCTAGAGAATCATCCATCGGATATTTTGATCTCCCAAAGCTTTTTGCCGAGTAAAGCCGCCAATTCCACTAATTCTGCAGTGATCATATCCTTCGAACATAAATTACCAAGCAAAGTCGTCATTTTCATAGCTCTGTGCATCATCCACCACTCCTTCTCGATCAAGTTAGACAAATGAATCAGCGCAGCCACTTTATTGTACAAGTGGCTGATAGTGCGACATAGTGCTGCTATCTGATGCCTGTTAGCAGATTCCTGTAAGCCACTATCGAACAAACTAGCGAATATAATATTTCGCTGCTTGAATGGACTCGTCAAGAAGTACCATTTTACGGCATAACGTACAAAACAAAATCGGAGTATAAGGAGTCAGATAAACACAAATCAGGAAAGCAGACCAACAATGTTATGTTAAGTTAAAAAACCATTATGGCTAAATCATACATCTATGTTGCATGCCTAAAACAACATGGCTGCTCAGATATCTGACCTGACCTCGAAACAAGCTACTGTCTAGTCCCTGAAACGGAAGTATTTAACAACATATATATTATAACTGTTGTATTACCACAGTTGATAAGTATGCATACACGGCAGCACAAAGATTTAACATTAAGTATAATGAAGCAATGCCTGATAACTAACTTGCTATGGTAAACATGTATGCTGAGACTGAGATAATCGATTTTCTGTGCAACTCCGTTCTGAAATTAGTGCGGACGTCAAATCCGATGGATGTGTTAAATGACTGACGTCATACAGCGTTAACTGCTACGAAAGTCGCTGCCAATGTAAACGCCGCAGACTACTACCATCCAGGTAACATAATACAAAATCATTAATCTTAATCACCATTATCGACTACTCTCAATTTACGGCTCACGAACGTCTCTTCAACATTCTGCCACAGACTTCCCCGTTATGCCATTTTCATCCACCTTCATCTGGCGAACTTCTTCAGTTAATCTTGCAACCGATTTGGACCTTTTGACGGGCTCTCTCCCAGTCTCATATCTCCTAGTCGAATGATGGTAGGTTCTTCCCGCAATGTACGCCCCCTCCCGTTGTCACTTTAACTGTTTCATTTGAACAATGACATCGCAAAGTCCTATTGGTGCACTTTCCTGTCCATTCGTCTTTCTGTTTTCTTGTTATTCTCAAAATAAACCTTTCTTGCTGTGTTGCAGCAGTCCGCAACTGAAGAATAGCCCGCAACTGATGAATAGCTTGCAGACTACAG